TGTCCACCCTCAAGTTTGATTATCGCGGTTTGACTTTTGTTTTGTTTTCAAGTGCAGTTCATTTCCTTACTTGAAAGTTTCAAAAATGGTCTGATTTTTTAAATTCCCTGCGGAATAAAAAATTTATCGATTGCTCAAGTTTTCTCTAAATTTCAGAAAAAATGCCGGTCATAAGCTGGACTTCTTGACAATTAAATAGTGTTAACATGAAATATTTGAAAATTTTCCATTTCTTTCAGTTTTTTTCTTTAATTGATTTTACTCTAATTGTTATTCAGCCGATTATACCGGTTAAATTATACCTAGAAAAACTCGAACTTTAGAAAGAATTGCAGCTTGACTTGACAACTGCATCGAAGTTTCCGACTTGAAATGCCTGTGTAAATTACAATGGCATTTATAAAAAGTTGGATTTTTTTCGAGGAAACAATTTTTCGCGATCAGGGAAAAGGGGAGAATTGCAGCTTCAAAAATAAGTTATTTACAGACTGATTCAGCTTTTATTACAAATGCCGATTTGGATTGTCACTGTAAAAGGATTTTTTTTGATATAGCTTGAATTACGAGTAAAAAAGCTTCACGTTGGTATGTGATACAATTTGGATGACGTGTTTTGGTACCCAATTTTGCTTGAAAAAAAAAACGCGCCAGAAATAAGTTCCTTCTTTCTGCGTGGTGAGAACAATATTTTCTTGTCTGTGGAAGTATTGGTTAAAAATCCTTATGCCATTTGAGTTTCCAGTCGAGATTTCTTTTGCACGGCTATGCAAAAATTGAAATGTCGACATCTTTTTTTTATTCAAAGAAGTGGCTATGCAGATTATTTCAGATGATAAAAAGGTTTTGTTAATCCCGTTTCGTGTGCATAATATGCTGTAGTGTTAACGAACGAAGTGGTAGTCATTTATATAGTGTGATGATTTTTCATGATTTGACTTTTGATTTCTTTTGTTAAACGGCGTTTTTGTTCTACCTAATTTTGTGAAAAAAAAAATATTTTAATTAATTGCCAGTGGATGTAGTAAAGACACTTATTCAGACCGCGTTTTTTTTTAAAATCTTTTTCAAGAAAAGTCTTGATGTTCACACTCAAATTTGACTTCTGTTGGTTTGATTTCTAATATTTTTAGTTCAGTTCAAATTGTTTGAACTGAACTTAAAAAAATCAGAAATCAAACTCCCCAAAAGTCAAATTTGAGCGTGAACACATTTTAAGACTTGCTTATGCATTAGTTTAACGAAAGCAAATTAGAAAAGCATAAATGACCTTTTTTTGGGAAGTGGATTTTAAATATTAGTTTTTCCAGCCTGAACCTGTAACTGTAGACTCATTTTCTAAAACTTGTCAGTTGGTTTGATGTCGACCATGAAGCTCAGACGTTATAATTTAGATATCATCTAAAAAATTTTCAGTCGTTATTTTCTATTGTGTAATCGGATACTGGACTTTTTTCCGTTGACAACTTCTTTTATAAATCTGCAAGAAATACAACTGGCTTCAATATTGGACCTGAACAACTTCCAGGATCCTTCTTCCTTAATCCATAAGTAATGCGTGTACTAATTCGTGCTAAGGCTTGGAGTTCGAATCGCGGCCGAACCTTGTTCTTGTTCTGGGAAAAAATCGAATGGTCGGACTTTCGTTGTCTGTTCTTTTTGTCGACTGATTTTCAAAAGCTTGGAATATTCTTCCAATTAAAACTTTTTTTTTTACATAACTGACAGTCGTTCCTATGTGTCGTCTTGGGGAATTTGGCTGTTTAGACCCAATATATTTCTTCTATATTGTCCGCTGAGTCCCTTCCCTAAATACCAGTACCAGCAAGGGGTGAGCTATGATCCGGTATTTGGCGACAATCCCTTCGGTTGAAAGGCTGAATTTGGTGGTCGATCGATGTACTACACTGGGTTGCGTCCCCTTTTCTCAATTGCCCTCGACTGTTCTTTTCCTCGGAAAGAATCGCAAGTATTCTGGCCTTTTTTATAACTTTTTTATAACTTATAAAAACAGGAAACACAATCGGTTTAATTCAAGAGAATCAATAAACGGCAAATTTTAGTAATTTTTTATTGCACGGAATTAGCAACAGCATTACACGTATCAAGTTAAAAAGTGGGCCTGTTCATGCCCTGATTTGTGTGATTTATGTGTTTTTTCACAATGAGTTCATACTTACTTCACGCAGTTTAATTAACAGAAACTCAATTGCAAACCAATTTTGAACCGATTAAAATATTAGCATTTTATGTTCTGTCAGGTTCGGCTCAAATAGGATTCTCAAATGAAACGACTTAGGTGAGAATCGAACCCACGCCGAACTCCCCGGAACGCACTATGTATACGCTGAGCTATATAGCTGGTATTGCTAAGCAACTATACTGGATTTATACTATACTTTCAATTTAATGCTATGTAGCATTAACATGCTCCACCCCCGAAGGAGCGAGAACCGGTGTTGTCTTTGCCGTAGTTTAGCGACATTATGCGTGCTAGTGGGTAGTGGCCCCTAGGGCTAGTGGATTCAACTAACTACACCATATCTCCCGTTTTCAAAGAGTATTCGGGAGGAGCATGCCACTTAACTCTTTTATTGAGTGTTGGGACTTACTCACTTAACCATCGCTGCCAAATTGCGTTTGCGTACGACTGCGCACGGGCATAGCGTTTAGAGTGAGAATAGTTTTCACTCGACCTTAGAGACGGAAACGTTTGACTGTGCTGACCTAAGAGGAAATGATTCGGCGTCAAAGCCTCAAGACTATCGGGGTCGTCAGAAACGGGAGTGAGTTCCCATTCGCTCCCATGCTCCACCTTGATGTGGTGCGTTTGGCGGATTATACTTCCACTTAATGCCTTTGTGTACGAGCGACAGTGGAGCTTCTGTGTTCCAATTTTTGATGCACAGAAGAAGCTCTTTTTCGGCTCCCACAAAGTTTGTTCCGTTGTCCGACCAAATTATTGAGGGTGTTCCTCGCCTATAAATAAAGCGCTCGATAGCCATCACACATGAACTTGTGTCCATGGATGGAACGAACTCAATGTGAATTGCGCGAGTCGTTAAGCAAGTAAATAGAAAACCCCAGTGTTTCTCGGAAGATCGACGAATGGTTACATGAAATGGTCCAAAATAATCGACGCCGCAGTTCGAGAACGGTGGCTGGCGGTATCCTAGACGCTCCGCGGGAAGGTCAGACAGCATTGGTGTAACGGTTTTCGCTTTTCGCTTTCTACAGCAACCGCAATGTGTTTCAATAGCTCTTAGTGCAGTTCTTAAGCGTAGTACAATAAATTGCTGATGAATGACTGAACGAAGGTAGTCGACTGACTGATGTTCGTGCTTAATGTGATAAAAACGGAGAAGCAATCGGATTAGGCGATGACGGCTATCCAAAATTATTGGATGGCGAGTTTCGAATGCCGTTGCAGAGAGACGTTGGATACGGCCGGTAGATTTAATTAAACCGTTCGGCCCGATAAAAGGGGAATACGATGATATACGGCTGGATGTTTTCACATATTTTCCAGCTGCTAATTGTTTACTTTCAGCTGGGAACGACTCTAACTGCGAAAGTTGCAAAAGTTTTTCCTCTGAAATAACAAGTTCTGCTGGATCAATTATGGCCTTATCTGGTGATCTGAAATGTCTATGCTTAGGTGAGTCTCAACATATATGCGACCAGTCGCTTTATCTTGGAGAACGAGCTATACTTTTCCCAAGGGAAGGCAAAATCAGTCGAAACTGCAGTGCACGGAAAATTGGAAGAGACCTCTAAACCCTCGTTTAGGTCGTAGACCGGACCATCCAGGCGAATTTTGTCAGTAACTTCCCTATTTGGATTGAAAGGCCACTCAGAAGTTTTCAAAAAGGAAGGGCCGTTTACCCAACTGCTTTGCTTGGGAGAGTCAGCAGTAATACCTCTAGTTCCGGTGTCAGCGGGGTTGTCTCCACTCAAAACATGGAACCATTGGTCAATTGATGTTGACTCCAGAATCTCGGCTACTCGATTGGCTACAAACACGGGCTGTTTGCTTGTCGAGTTCAACCACTGAAGGACTGTTGTGCTGTCAGTCCACATGAACACTTTGGAAATACTCAGTGTCAGAGCTTTCTCGATATCATCCTTTAGGCGACTGGCAAGAAGCGCAGCCTGAAGTTCCAACTTCGGAATTGAAAGCATCTTCATCGGGGCTACTCTTGCTTTACCGAAAACAAACGCTAGTTGACATTTGGAACAGGCGTTTTTCTGAGCTCGAAGGAATGCTACAGAACAGAAAACGGCCAATGAGCTATAACCGAACATGTGCAGCTCAACCTCATCTACTGAAAAGTCAAAATAGCAACGAGGTATTTTGAGCTGCCCTAAAACTGGCAAGCCAGAGTGCCATTCAGTGAATCTGCGGCACAACTCAATTGGCAGTGGGTCGTCCCACTGTTGGCCACTCAATCTCCAGATATCTTTCAGTAACAAACGTGCGCGTACGGTATACGGGGCGACAAGACCTATGGGGTCGAACACGGAGGACACAAAACTAAGGACCGATGGCTGCGTAACAGAGTCTTTGAGTTCGCGGTTGACTCCTCTGCTCACAACCAACGTATCGGTGACGTGGTCCCATTTGAGACCGAGAACATGCGATGCGGTTTCCGGATTAATCGCAGCGGTAATAATTTCCTTACTGTTGTTAGCGCTGGTCTTAGGGGGATTTAGTTTCGAAGACAAATTGGGAACGTTGCTAATAAATTTTGTAAGATTAAACCCACCCAACTTAAGCAGCTCAACTAAACTGCGACTTAACCTTAAAGCAGTTTCTGGGTTTTTCACAGACCCAAGGTAGTCATCCATGTAAAATTTGTTAAGCACGGCGTAAGCGGCATCGGGGTAACGATCTTGGTTATCGACGGCTGTTTGGCGAAGAGCATAGTTAGCACATGTCGGAGAATCTTTCGCTCCAAATATATGCCTTGTATATTGAAATACACTCACATCTGATGTGGGGTCCTCCCGCCACAAAAAACGCAAGGAACGTTGATCGCTTTCTAGTAAGCCGACCTGCATTAACATGCCTTTGATATCTGCGGAAATTGCGTATTTGTGCTCTCGGAAGCGCATGAAAACGAATAAAAGGTTCTGAAGCAGATCGGGGCCGACGAGAAGGGAGTTATTCAGTGAATTGCCGTGAAACCTAGAAGCACCGTTTAAAACGCGCCGAACTTTGCCGGGTTTGTTCGGATTTAAAACTGGGTGGTGCGGTACGTACCATTCTCGGTCTGAACGGTTTTTTGAGTCGTGAGAGCTAACCGGGACCACGTAACCCTTCTCGACATGACTTCGGATATCTGATGCGTATTGAGTTTTCAGTTTTAAATCTTTCTCTAGACGTTTTTCAAGAGACTTAAACTGGACCAACGAAGCGTAAAAATTATCGGGAAGATGAATGTTGTCATCAGCCCAGAGCATTCCGACAATATAACGGCTGCCATCATGAATCGTGGTAGAGTCAAGAATTTTTTGTGCACGTTTATCAGCTGAGGAACGGGGATCAGCTTGTTTAAACGTGCCATACGACTCTAGCTCGTACCATTTCTTCACTTGGTCAGCAATACTGGCTTTATACTATACTTTCATACTTTAATGCTATGTAGCATTAACAGCAAGAAACTGGATAGTAATTGAATTCAGAAATAAATATGTAAATTGCTGAGTATAAGGGCCGCTAAGTGGCCTGAATACAATTTTTTAAGTATCAATGAATTTAATCTGCGATAAGTTTCAGGAAGCTGCGTCTTGCAGTTTATTTACAAACAATTCTAAACAACTCTTCAACTTGCTTCACAAAGCTTCACTAAAAATCTCGCGTCGAGAACTCACTTTAAAAATTTCACGAGTCACTCTCAGGACCCGTCTGAATTCTATAAGTCTCAATCTTGTTCTGTTCAGTTCGGTGGTTGTACCTTAATCGCGTATCGTTATCTTCATTTACTTTCGGTTCGGTCAGAGGCGTACCGTTCCCTATCCCTACTAACATTCACTTAATTAGCTGCCACTCAGGACTTATCAGCTGAATCAACCATTAGGTCGGCTTTAATTAAACATCGGGGTGGCACTTAGTTAATCAGGACATGCTGAGCAAACATTGGGTTCAACTACAAAATCAGCTCCCAATCGTATTTGACAAATGACCCCGTGCATGATTTTATTTTAGTTCTTCCTAACTTTTTCCCTTTCCTATGAATTGGGTAGTTCTCACACAATCGGGAATTTAACTTCCGTGATACTTGAAAAGTTTCCATTTTTGGTCATTTTTAATTTTATTCCCCTAAGTCCAAGGGCTGGGTAATTCCCTTCCCCGTGTCCGTTTTGATCCGAAAAAACACCACAAGAATTTATTAACTATGCTAGGGCTGTTCATAAAATCTTCATCCCGAAATTCCCATTTCCCCCCATAGATGTTCCCAATTTTGGTCCGGGGCTGTATTTTTACTTGTTTTGTCGTTCTTATCGAAAGTCCAAGTGGAGTGGGTTAAGCTGACCCCAATGTTTGCTAATTACAGAAAATAACTTTTGCTTGGGTACAAAGGTCAAAACTAAAAATTCTCGATTTAGGGGCCTCCCCTTACCTCCGGAGGTGGGTAGGTAACCCTTACGGGTCCTTACAATGCTAATTTATCGCTTTTCGGGGGTTCCGGGGTCTTGGGGTCAAGAATGCCTAACGACCTCTTAGAGGTCATCCGCGGTCAAATGAGGTCAAACGCGTCCAAACGTCTTATTTTCGATGGGAGATTATTCCCACTAAGTTTCATTCCTATCGGACTATCCCTTCCCATATTTTTGAAAAATTCGGGTCAATTAACACATTTTCCCTAAAATTGCCTGTTTCACCCCATAGGAGGTTCCGGAGAGGATTGGGTCACCAGGGATCTACCTAATGGGTTGGGCCCCCCTTCACATTGGTGCTTTAAAATCACAAGTCAATTATCACTATCAGGTGTTAATAGCCTAATTAAATTTTCAAGTGCTAATAGCTTCCGACGTAGCCGCCGGATTGGGTCCAAACATTATTACGTTATAGGTCCTCCCCCAACCTACCATCCCCCCAAGTTTCAGCCTCCTAGCATTATCAGGGGTCGAGAAATAACAAAAAGTGGGTTTTGTTTACATAGGGCGTAAAACCGGAAGTAATAACCGGATGCGTTCAAAATCCCGGTGGTGAACTTCCCTCGCCTAGGGCTACAACATATTGCAATATGAAGTCATTCTGACCATTATTTACCGGTATACAAATAGTGCTAATTGCATTTTCGGAAATCATTATCACTCGCCACCCAGGGGTCTGGAAATTGGCATGCCTGGCTAAAATCGTCTATTAGTCACCCACCAATTTTCATAAGGAACGGACCAGTGGTTCCCAATCCGGGGGATTTCCAGATTTTGCGCGCTTTTCCAATTCTTCGCCTTAGAGGTCAAATTCAAGGTGCAGAGTCCGATTACGATTGTTTGCTCTCAAACTAAGCTTATCTATCACTGAATTTCCTTGCTACAAGTTCATACGGTCGGTTTACGTTAAAATCAATTTTCGCAATTTTCAACCATTTTCGTCATGAATTACCAATCCTACACCGATATCGTCGATTACCTAAGGGCTAAGGCTGAGGGTGGAGAAGCTTCCCCCCACCCCCTACATTTACCTCAAGGCAAAAGAGAGACTTTCGCAGGAAAGTTAAGTCTTATTCACTCAACGGTTCTAAGCTTACTCGCGCCGGCCAAGAAGCGTTACACGAAAATAACATAGAAGATACCCTTCGTCGTATTCATGAGGAAGATTTAGAACATACTGGCGACTGCAAGGTCTTACAGCAAAAGTGTCTCGCGCAATACCACGCAGAAAACTTACGAGGTTACTGCCAAGATGTTACCGTAACCTGCACCAAATGTCAGGAAGAGCAAGTGGTCATCTTAGACATCGTTCCGCTGTATCACCTATCGCATAAAACGCGGACAAACATATGCCAGACCCTAATGATGCCCGTCGAAAACTCGGGAAATAGCAAAAGGACACGAAAGTTGCTTGTCCCCATATTCACCACCGGGACCGCCCGTTCCACACCCAGGACTACGCGAATTTCGACCCTGATATTCATGAACCAATTCGGATCGATTGCGTACAGGATAAATCATCGTGTTTCTTAGATTGCGTTCCTTACCGTATGACTGGAAAAAAGAAACCTTCTGCCCGGCTCCAGGAAGCTGTTACTATATGGCGGAAAGAGGAATCCGACAGGGTGGGGTCCTTTTATTAACCTTACAATGATCCCGATATGCATATTGTCGCGGAAAAGTTGGGGGTACACATTTACGAGTACCGGTCTGACATGAATCCCCCCAGTGGTACTACTTTGCGGGGCATAAGCGGGGGCGTGGGGGTACCGAGGTCCAAGAAGCCATTTACTTATACTACAGTGTTGGGGTGGGAGAAGGGGGGAAACGACGAGGGGCATACCGAGCTCATTGTCGGGAGAAAGATGAGGAGGGGATAATTTACAATTTATTTTACCTATAACCCCTTTGGCTTTATTCGATATTCTTAGTTCCATACCATTACACGTATAATTTCAGCATAGCCAATTAATCGGTCATTAACTTGGTTCAAACCAACTGCAAAGTTTGGACAATTTTGATGCATGTATTTCTTATTACTTATCTTAGTTACATATTTGCTACAAATATTTGCTACATTGGAGTGGCGGATTCGTGTTTGAAATGAGTCGAAAGTTGACAGGTCTCAATTTTGTTAATTTCGCGCGCATTTGTCAGAATTGGTGACTTTTGATCTTATCTTATCAAAATTGGTTACATTCAAAATAGCATGGGGATAAAATTAGCTATCTGAATTGGTAAGTATCACTTTTGAACTATCTTGCAAATCCCCCGCCAGTAGTTTCGCGCCTACGCCTAATTTCCGTCGACGCACGAGGTCAGTCCGATTATCACGTGCGAAAATCGCGATCTTACACTATGTTTTCACTTTTACCAATTCGGATTTTCAAAATAAATTTGATAATTTTTTCTTTTTCAATTTTTTTTTCGATCAAATAGTTTTTATCGGCTTGGTCAATTTATTTTGCATAGTTTGAAAGGGAATTACACTGTTTTCTATTCCTTCGAGCATTTTTGGGGAATGGAATGTGTTTGCTTTTACTTTTGAAAATTATTTGCTCAAAAAATGTCTATAAGTAAAATTTTTTATGGCATTTTTTGTTTTTTTTTGCCCTGAACGGGCGTCTACCAAAGTATTTTCGGCTTAGTAGCCGCTCGGTTAATGTAATCTTTTTTAATGCTGGTGTTTGTATTTCTTGATCATTGTTTTTTTTGATGTTGAATTTTTCTTGCTTTTTAAAAAATATTCTCGACGTGATTTCAGTCAAGTGTTTTATACGCTAGCTTGCAATGCCATGCCACGCTTGCGCTATATCACAAGTGTTGCGAAAATCTGTTTTGTCTCAGCGTGAGTGTTAATGAATTGAAGTAACAACTAATTGAGATCGTGCGGTTATTTGATGACTGATTTTTGTTGGTGTGAATTAGTTTTTTTTTCAGCTTGGTATCGTGGGCATCATTAGTATTGAAACGACTGTACTAGGAATTTGATATTTCAAGTCTCGTATGCTCAGAGCTTCACCTTCACTTTTTCTAGTGCCCTGTTCATTTTCAGTTTGAGTATGACTCGGATGGACATGACATGTGCCTCTGGGGATGACCAAACCCTGAATTCCACTCCCATCACCGATCTGAACAATTTGATAAACTATAATGTCAATTATAAAGAACTATTAAAATTATAAAAG